AAAAAAAAAAAACTGAACGAAACCAAGGGGGGGGGGGGGGGGGGGTGAAGGTGCGGAGGATGTGCCACCATAGCGTCCCCAGGGTGTCACACCTCGGCCCCGGGCACGGGGAGGACCGGAGCAGCGCGGGGAGAGGCGGAGGCCGCTTGGCATTAACGTCACCTTTCCGGCAAGGAAAGACCAAAACGCAAACGAAGACATTTCTCCATTTTGCTGGCTTTACCAAAACATGTTGTGATGTCGAAAAAGAGAGAGACTGACAATACTTGGGGCTTCGGGATGTGGAGTGCTCGTGCGTGTCTTTTATGCCCCTATGTCTTTTCCTTTCCTCTCCTCTCTTGCTTTTGGGTTTGTTTGGGGTTTTTTTTTGGGGGGGTTGGGGGTGTTGTTTCCCATCGTAACCTTGTGGAGAGTTTCGGGCACGGTCTGTTACGGGACTCAGAAATACACTGTCTATGGCTTTGGGTAACCTGTCTGTCGTCCTTCCTCCCCTTCATCATAGAATCACAGAATGTTTTGGGTGGGAAGGGACCCCTAGAGGTCACCCAGCCCAACCCCCCCTGCAAGGGAGCAGGGACACCTTGAACCACATCAGGTTGCTCACAGCCCTGGCCAACCTGGCCTGGAATGTTCCATCCATCCCCTTTGTGAGATGCCGCCCTGGGTGTTGCTGCACCCCGGATTTTGGGGGGGAAGCATTAAACCTCCCCTAGGTTCCCCCCGCCCCTGCTTCTTGCCACACCACCAGCCCCCTGGCACCCCAGGACGAGGAGGAGGGAGACAACCAGCCGGGCTGACGGGAGGAGTTTATTCGCGGTGAGATGCTCCCGTGCACACTCAGGACCGGGTGCTGCGGGCGTCCCCCCCCATCCCGCAGCCAGGTCAGCATGGGACCCCCCCCGCCCCGGTGGGGATGTGTGCATGAAAGGAAATCTTTGCCCCCAAACTCACTCATTTTTTTGTTTAGGGGATACTTAAAATATATAGAGAGAGAGCTTCAGCAATCGTCTGGACACACAAAAATTAGTGTGCTGCAAATGTCATGCAAAGCCAGACATTGCAGGTAAATTTAATCCACTTTGTTTCTTTAACTGGTGACTAGGGGGAAAAAAAAAAAAATTGAAATTAAAAAGCGGGGCAGCAGCGCAGCATGGTGCAGATGGCCGCTGGGTCGGTGGCCTCCAGCAACATGATGACCACGGCTTTGCCGTAGGAGTCGACAAAGTCCTTGCACTGCCCGATGATGCCATGGGGCAGCATGTAGCACACCTTCTCGATGTCATTCACCAGTTGCTCCTGCCAAGAGAAGGCAGGCAGAGGAAGGGGGAAACCCCCCCACCTGCTCCTTGCTGCTCTTCTTGCCCCCACCCCACCCCAGCTCCCCCCCATCCCTGGACCGCAGCGGCGGGGCTCACCTCCGTCACGTTGTTCTCCCGGAGGCTCTCGGCCGGCTTCACCACAAACCTGGGATGAGGATGGGGAGGGGGATATGGGTGGGGATTTTGCAGTTGCCCTGAGAGGCGTCAAGGCTGAATCCCCAGTCCCGAAAATACTAACGAGGCCCTTAACCTGATTTGGAAATCCAAGCCCCAGGGGTGGAAAAGGAAGCAGCAGAGGCGGCTGGGGGGCCCCACAGCCCCCGCCGGGGTGGTGGGGCTGCTGGGCTCCCCCAGCACCCTCCCTGGGTGCAGGCACATCCCAAGGGAGGGGGTCCGGGCTCCTGAACCAAAACAGTGGGGCAAGCCCAGCAGACCGGAGAGGTGGCTCCTTTAGTTCCATATGTGACGCCGGCAATGTTCAACAGCCTGCAGGAGAGATGGGGAGGGATGGCGTAGGGGTGCAGAGACACCA